TGTTTATTTGTGATGACGCTAAGCCGCCGATCGGCGTCTGGCCGATTCGAGGGTCGGTACAAAAACGGCCGGCGGCGGACGACCGGCGGGCTGTCGTCAGGGGAGAGCGGACGTCCGACCGGCCCGGCTCCGGCCTGGGCCGGCCCTGCCCGGCCTGGACCGACCCTACCCGGCCTGGACCTGTCCTTCTTCGGCCTGGACCTGCCGTGCTCGGCCCGGGCCGGCCCTCTCCTACCTGGACCAGCCTGGACCGGCCCTGCTCCGGCGGCGTCGGCTCCCCAGGATGCCGCTCGCGACGCCACGCGGGCGGGGCGGGGCGCGGTGGCGGGGACCGGCAACACCATTACCGCCGCCGCAGCGTGATGCATTCCAAATGAGGCCGGATGGAGGGCCCGCTGTGACCGCCTGCCAGTGCTGACCAGCCACGTCCTTGGTCAACGGGAACTGAGGATGAGTGCCGTGGTCAGCAGGCGCCGAACTTCCGCGGTCGTTGGGTGCTGAGGTCGTTATTATCAAATGCAGCATCATCCCAGGTTTGGCTGCTGCTGACATCTTGCAGCTCTCCATATGAGTTGCTGTGAACATCCTGGAAAGGAATGGTGAGCTAGTCTGTGTGAGATGGTCACTTCCGTGGTCACGGGGGTACTGGTCGGCGGGAGATGGTACTTCCGTGGTCACTGGGTACTGGTCGGTGTGAGATGGTCTCGTCTGTGGACCCTAAGTACTGGTCGATGGGTGATGGTCACTTCCGTGGTCACTGGGTCCTGGTCGGCGTGACATGGTCACTTCCTTAGTCACCGGGTACCCGCTTGAGTGAGATGGTCACTTCCGTGGTCACTGGACACTGACTGGTGTGTGGTCGCCGGCTGCCTATCACTTCTGTAGTTGACAGATCCTGACCGGTACATTTTTGTGATTGGTCGGTATATATCAGCCACTTGCTTGCTTACCTAGCACCAATATGGCACTTCCACGTTAAACAGATGCTTGGGAATGTGGTGTGTGGTGTACGAAATCGTCATCGGTCTGATGATCTACGAGATAATCGATGTGTGTTACTCCCTGCGCTGTGTTCAACAAGCGTTTTCGGTGTCGATTTCGCCTGTGTTTTCGTGGGGTGCTGATGATTCCACCGATCTGAGATGTTCCTGGCGCGTGCGGTCACGGACAGTTACACCACACCGCTTCATGAGGAAGTCGGGCCATTTCCTGCCAGACTTCCTGCCCCACCCTGTCATTTCCGTGGTCAGGAGGCCCCAGTCGATCACGCGGTGGTCAGCAGGCACCGATCGATTGCGCTGTTGTCGGGAAGTGCCGACCAATCATATCCACCACATGTAACGATCGATATCGCCAAAAGAAGCGGGTTGTCTCACTGGCAGCTGGATAAAATGGTGCGGGCGGACTCACCCGGCCCCGTCAGGCCGGCCTGGTCCTCGAAGTGACGCGGCACATTCTTGGGCCCCGTGGGTGTGAAGTTCGTTGCTCCTCTCCGGTCACCTTTTGAATTATGTGGCTGAGGTTAGGAAGAAGACATAGTTGTGCGCGCGGAACTGGTCGTTTAAGTATTGTTGTTTTTTATTGTTTAATATATGTTGGCTAATCATGAGCCAACACCAGTGTGATCAATCACGCTTGCTTCTCCAGTTCTAGAGGCCCGACCCTGATATGCATGTAGGTATTTGTCGACTGTAGGTACTTTATTAAAGATTAGCTGTTATCCCATGCAATACAAATGGCAGATGTGACTCCTCCATCATCCGTCTATGTATCCGCTTTTCTCGCTTCATCCTGCATCCCCGCGGCCGCCTTGTTTTGTCAGGGGCGGGACGCAGGAACCAGGCCGCGAGTGGGCCGAAGTGCCCCCCGTCCCGACGCCAGGCACATACCCCGCAGACGCGGTCCGCGCGCGGACTTGTCCCGACGGTCGGGTGCCCAAGTACGACTAACGTAGTCCTGCCCCCCACCGTTATCCATTGTCGTTTATATCAGAGTCTCGAAACGGTCATAGCTGTTGAAAGGGTTATTTCGAAAGGGTTAAATTACTAATCGAAGTAACCAAATAACCAGCCTCCTCCATCTTGGGATCTGTCTATCTAGCCCTGCTTAGCCAAGATTTCGTGTACAAGGGATTGAAGCATTGGAAGGGATGGGAGCCTTAAATTCACATCGTGCTGTGGTATCTTGGATGAATATAAATCCTCCCATGAAGGATTAACCACAAAAGCCTTGTGAGCTTCTCGAAAGTGTCAATCGGCTGTGTTTTTCTGGGTGGAGGTTTTGGTGATGGGCGGAATGACGTCACAGCAAGGCCCGTCCCATTGGGTGTGTGTTTGCGGGAGGAGCTGGCCCACTCGTCCGAGCACGCGCTGGTCCGGCGGGTGAACAGAACGAGAGCGCGACGGAACGAGACCTGCTCCACCTAGCGGGAGCTCTCGATCCATCTGTCAAAGCGGAAGATTTGCGCTGCGGGCGTGAAGACAACTTTTGCTCTCCGATATGCTGGGCGTTTGTGACCATCGCAGCAAACAAATCCTGCTACGGTGCATTTTGTGGAGGAGGGCGTTTTTGAGTAAAAACTTGGAAATCCCCACCCTCACCAACTAACCCTACAAAGAAAACGGTGGAATTAGGGCTTTTATGCCGGGATTAGAAAATGAACGCGGTGCATGAATGCGGTCAACCCCCTTCGTCACACAGCCAAAACATCACGCCGCAGAGGGATAGCTGGTCGCCGTGCTCCGTGTTGATACTTGACTGTTTACTTCCCGAGATGACGCAGATTGGCCACATGGAGCCCGGCCTTAGTCAAGCACATCCGACCGCGTCACTGGGATGTTTGGAACCAGCTGCCGTGTCCCAGCGAGTGGCTGACACGTCTCCGGCGTGGCGACACGTCCGGCTCCGGCTCGGCCTGTTGACGTCAACGGCGGCGCCCGGCCGGCTGTCGGAGATCGCCCCGGCGGCGCGTCACAGTCACCAGACCATCGATCGCCGGTCCGCCCGCCGGCCCCCGCCCCGCCCCGCCCTCGCCGCCCGGCTCCGGCTCCGGCTCCGGCTCCGGGCGGGCGCGGGCGCGACAGCCGGCGTCGCGGGGCTGGTCAGCCGTGTTTGCTCCGCGGCGCTGAGCTGCCGGTGGGCCGTGTCGAGGACGAGCGCGGCGGCGAGGCGGGGCTGCACCGGACCGGTCGATCGGAGGCCAGGGCGGCCGGGCGGCAGGTGTAGCGCACGCCCGCGTCCGTTTGATTGCTAGCCGTCCGACAGCGTAGGCCTATTCGGTGGTAAATGACTGAGTAGGTGGCCAGTGGTGCTCACCGAGTATGTTGGAGCCGACTTCACCAGCTGGCATCACATGCCCTCGCAGTCGATGCGCCCCAAAACACCAGACATCATCGGTCGAGAGGAACGCGTGACGTCAAGGCGGCCGCTGTCAGATGCTGGGAGATACCGGCTGACGGGATGTCGGATGGACGATGTTTTTCGGGGTATTCCCGGTCCTGGACTACAGCGACCAGGCGATGTGGCCGGTGGGGTCGTTCAGAGCAAATCGCCTGTAGAGGCTTTCCAGTATGTTGAGTGTTTGGCTAAGCTGAGTGTCGATGGCGGTACCACAACAGATGCTACAACATCTTGGTCTGTTGTTGTTCCGCAAATTACGTTAGGTTTTTCCACGTTGTTGGCTCTTATCACAGGCGCGCTAAGTGTGGGAGGGGCAGTTGGCATTGCTTGTCATTACAGCCTCTACACAGCATGCGGAAGGGAAAACTTGTGCGTGAGCGGCTCGGCCGCTGCCAATTAATTTTGATATCTGCCACCAAGTATGCATGTTGGTTGGACGTTTATGTCCGGGAACAACTAATGAAGCAACGGCGCATAATTTGGTGGATTAAGCGCGGCACGTCTTAATGGGCTAGCGTGTCATTTTTTCAATGGGGTCCATATGAAGTACTTACTTTGTGACATTGAACAAAGGTAAAAAGGCCGCACTGGCCCGGCACGTTAATCGTCGGCGGCTTAACGACACAAAACCCGTTTGCCCATGGAAATCCGTGGTTCCCGCTACGAATCAGAGGGACAAAAAGAAATTAACAAACCTGTGAAGAGATTGGGCCTACCCATGTTTGGCTTGATTTGGCATGGAACGGGTAGAAAATTCTGGGGCCAATTGTCAGTTTTGTGAGTGTAACGTGTTCCAAACAGCTGCAGTGTCATCGCTTTTACGCTTTGCCTCTGGCGGCTACGTTATGACCCAAAACATCGCTTTGCCAAAACAAGCGTGTAAAGTATTGCTACTGCTTAACCATAGTCCGTAGGGCCAGCATAGCTAAGGCCGAAGCTTTGCAGAACCTTAATAACGTGAGGAGAAAACCCGGCAAAAATTAATCCCTTGAGTGTACCGCAGCTGTGCTCATATTCGAATCAAAACGTTTTCAGTGAGCGCAGTCTATTTCAATGTACATGTGCAGCATGGCACTGGCAGTAATGCATATTCATACAGCCTTCGCACATTATGATCCGTCCAGTCACAACATGGAAGCATTCGCGCATCGGCAAATACCTAAAGGTATCAACACTGTGCCGATACATAAGCTTCTTCAAAACGCGATCCCGGATATTCCTGTCACACGCTAGTGGTTCGCAACAATGTGAGTGAATCTGTTTGGCTAAAAGTGAAGCTTTGCCTAGCCTGAAAAGACATTAAAGTCAGTCCCTGTCACCAATTCTCTAAATCACAAAACAACTACGTTTTTGCTCGAATTGTCCATATACTCTGGAGATGCTGTTGTTGAATTATGATTCCCACATCAATAATGCTTGGGTCACGTGATCTCGTTGCAACCAGCCATCGGGATCAAGGCGCTTCTCTCTCTGCGTGTGGTCGGTACAGGCTCTGTTAACACCTCGGCTGCCAGGTCTGCTGACCCAACCCGTCGTCCTCTTCCAGGGTAGTCTGTGTCCCACCGGCGTATCTGCTGACCCGGTTCGTCGTCCTCTTCCAGGGTAGTCTGTGTCCCGCCTGCGTGGCGCATTCTATGGACTGTCCGAATGGCGGCATTGCCGGCTTCGGGGGCGGCTGCGGCGGCGGTGGCAGCGGCGACAGCGTCACGAACGGCAGCATCACCAGCGGCCACAGCCGCCACGGCCGCATCGCCGGCGAGCCGCCGAGCGAGGCGCTCTCCCGCTCCACCATCCTGACCAAGGCCAAGCCGTTCCCGGTCATGGGTGAGTACCGCGCCGACCAGCCCGCCGGCAACGTGCTGGCGAGGGGAGGTCAGATACGGGACGGAGCTGAGTGGAGGGTCAGGACAGACATGAGACTGAGCTGACTGGAGGGTCAGGTCAGGCATGGGATATGGCTGATTCTGTGGTCAGCTCGAACAGACGGAGCGGACTGAATAGTCAGGTCAGATGTTGAATATAGCTGACTGCTCAGCTATATTCTGATCTTATATGGTGATCAGAACAGACGGAGTGGACTGGGGGGTCAGGTCGAAAGTGGCATTTAGCCAGGGTACTGGAATTGGGGCCGGATGCATTTGTCAGCTTTCAGCTCGTTAGGAAACTTCAGAGTCTGAATTCCTGAACTGATCATGTGTCGTCCAGTCGCCCTCGCCAACTGGACGGCACATGGGAGTTGAGCCCAGGTGGCACGGAGTAAAGGAGGTTTTAATTCTGGCCGAGAATGAATGACAAAGGCTTGTCTGAAATGGCATCCCTCTGTACTGACCGTTACTTTCTTTCGATGGCCTACCTGGTGACCGCCATTGCTGCTGTCTTTACGACTGGTACGAAGGGGTGATGACGTCGAGTGAAGGAGCTTGGACGCTGGTTCTTGGACTCGAATGTGCCGATGGCACGCGGCGAAGGGTTCTCTGAAGTCGTTGACGATTGTTCGTCGCGGTGGCGTGGTTCCACTGCGTGTTAGCTACGAGGCCAGGTGTGGGTGTGGGTGCGGGCGTGTGTGGGTGTGTGGGTGGTTGTGGGTGTGGGTGTGGGTGTGGGCGTGTGGATGTAGGTGTGGGCGTGGGGGGGGGTGTGTTGGGGTGTGGGTGTGGTTGTGGCTGTGGGGGTGTGCGTGGGTGTGCTTGGGCGTGTGTCAGTGTGCGTCAGGAGTCTCTCTCTGGGTGTAGACTGAGTGGTTCGCCAGCTACGAATGAAAGGCATCCTCCGCAGACTGCCTGCCTGCTTGCTTGCTTGTGGAGTTGGATGTTTTTTTTCTTGCGAGGCCCGACGCGGCTACAAACACTTGGTATTAGTTTAGTAACATTGTTGGGGCAGTTGGTGGCCTAGCAACATTATTGGGGCCGCTGGTCGTAATTTTTACATCACGCCCGGTGGCCGGTATTTATTTGACGATGCGAGAGGTTCGTAACGTTGCATTAGGCTTTCGCACTCGTTTCGTATTCGGATTCGTATCGTTGTAGCAGACTTTCTTGGCTACAGCACCAGGTGGTGTCCACGCACCTGTTGTCGGAGTACTTCTACGGCAAGTTGATGCAGACTTATCCGACGGGCTTCAGCGCGTTTCAACCCCTCGAAGTTGTGGGAAAGGCTGCGGTTACTGATGATGGATGTGACGGTTGATTGTCAAATGTAATGGGACAACCAATGCATAGCGTGTTCCTTTGCCGCGGTTTACGACAGGTTCACAGGTGTGGGCTTAACCTGCATGTTTCCCATCTGGTTTTGCAAAATACCAAGCAAACTCTGATTGGCGCAGTACCCTGTAGGTTACCACTCGCCAAACATGTCGATGGGTGTACAACTAAACCTTTTGGGTACGTGGGGCGCATTATTTGAAGAGACTGGTCGCACTCCAAGCTATGTTCTTAATGCCATGAGCCATATGGTATCAGCCTTTTTGCTGACCGTTCGCTCTTAACGCTGTATAAGTTTTGCAAAGTCTTTGCTTCATGCTGCGTCCTTTGGGAGGTCATGCCATTTGGTTCATAAGATTAGGGCAATGCATTCTGGTACGATCTCAGCAATACTCAAGACCGTGCAGTTACTCCGGGTCATCGGGTCAAAAGGGCCGAAATTGCGATATCTGCGCTTTCAGGCGAATGTTTGCTACATGTGCATTTTAGGAAAAAATGATAATGAAAAGCTTTTTCGGGGGCATCCGTTTAATGTGCGTGTAGCTGATCAGCCGGGAAGGGATGAACTTTAAGAGGCCTTAGCGGCTTTGGTGAGTTACCGACGGATCTCAGACAAAGTACTTAAGAAAAATGTGTCAGAAGTTCGTCAGGGTAGTGCGTTGCATATCAGCTGCGTTGGTCAAAATATTGAAATGAAGAAATACGTATAAGATAAAGTTCGCGTGATGAAATCTTCGTCAGGAAGAAGTTCGTAACAAGAATTGTCCCGCGCACAAAATATTGCATGGAAAAAGATCGTACGCAAATGTTCGTCAGTGATAAGAGTTGGTGTGACAAAATTACTGGTGCAAAAGCTTGTATGCGATATATGATACAAGTATGCAACGTTCGTGCGCAAATGTTCGTTTAGAGATAAAGTTAAGCAGAGCAGCAGTCACGTCCGGTGCACAGTTGTTTCTATACAGGAGCCCGGAGTCCAGAGAGAAACAATACACCGCTGTATCCGCTTTGATTAGAAATTTCTTCGCACCCACCCAGTATTGCCCAATGCTCCAACTTTAAAACTGCCCTCCGAATAGAGCTAAAAAGATGTGCAGCAGAATTTTGCACCTTGAGCGAGAACTGTACAGCAAAATTTTGCACCTTGGGCAGAACAACGTGCGGCTGCTTTCCCTTGGTCTTCGCGGGATGACCTGGAGCGCAGAATGCGCGGTGGCATCCTCCGCCCCAGATCATCTCGCGGAGACCAAGGGTGTATTGACAGCGACAAGGACGACGAAGAATATATGTCGTCGACATTTCATCTCTCTTGACGTGATACCCCATAAATTCTGCGCCGTTGGGTGTTCGCGGTGAACCGGACGACAAAGATGGTGCGTGACGTCACAGAGACGCGCATTATCTTTTTCTGCGCCTCGATCGGTTTGCAACAGAAATGGCGCAGCAGATTCATTATGATGTCATTTTGCGTGCGCAGCACCGACCACGGTTGATAGAAATTTTTAACAGGTTACAAATAGCGCAGTTTGCAGTTTCCATTGTAAGAAGCATTCAGAGTGCCTGCAAACGAAAATATTTTGTGTTTGTATGTGCAGTTACTGCCACGACAGTTACGAATAAGGCGAAGGTGTCTCGAAACGATGTAAACAGAAAGCGCGTCGCGCTGCGAACCCGGCTGGAAAACATTCAGAACGTTCTTGGTGCACTGGGAATACACCCCTAATCTCCGCGAAATGAGCGAGCTGGCGGCGCATAATGTGGTAACGGGATGGTTGATGTGTCCTGGAACACTTTCCATAAGAACTCCCGTAAAGCGATTACGCTTGCAAACTTTGTATCTGGTCCGTGCTTACGAACATTTGTGTACGGACTGCAAAAAACCGTATTGTGACCAAACAGTTGTTTACTTACAACGCTAACAAACAATTACATATGTACTTAATGCTTGCGACCTTTTGTCCCGACGAACTTTTGTCAATACGAATATTTTACATAAGTACGCAAAACCGTGCCCTATTTGATGACAGATTTCAGCATGCAAACTTCTTACTTCATGTACATCTGCTGACGAGCTGTGTGAGCTATGGCGCAGGTACTTAATGCACACGTGCTTCTTTCGTGCAAATTTTTGGCCGACGCCGCTGTAAAGAGGCGCCCCGGGGACAAGAGCACATGAAATACACGTACATGCCAGCATGTTGTCGTCCGTACTGGAGTCATCAATGACGATGGTTGTGGTACCCTGTTTACCCATTTGCCATGAACAAGTAAGCTGCAGATGGCGAGGGTCGCCGCCTGTGCCGCCGTGACGGGCTGATGACCATGCCAGGAACGCGGCCTGGGTGGCGCGACGCTCATATGGCATGCCACCTGACCAGATGGGCCGCTGCGCTGCGCCAGACGTGGCAGCACTGGCTTATATCGATTGGCGACGACACCCTCGGGAAGCACCATGAATGCAGGGAGCAAGAGGTGGGGCGGAGGGCTAGGTGGTGCCGTCGTCACCATGGTCTCAGGTGGCGCTGTCATCGCCATGACCTAGGTGGCGTCGTCGTTGCCGCGATCCTAGGTGGCGCCGTCGTCGCTGTCCCAGGCGGCGCAAGCATTGGTACTGTTCGCGGAGAGAGCTGCTGCTGCAGCCTGGTGGCCACAACGGCAGTTACTAGTGTTTTCTCTGATCACGAGATGGTGTTGAAGATAGATCTGCCGTCAAGCGTACATGTAGTGCTTCTGAACAGTGTCGCAGCGACCCAGCGAACTTTCGTAAATTTGAATTTTAGATGATGAGGTATAAAAGGTAGGGTTGCTATTACGCTGTTTTGTTGTTCAAGCCATGATATCGGTAGGGCGTAAGCTACCGTGGTGGAAAGCAGCCGGCGTTGCGGTTGATGGTATTGCGCACGAATGCAGCCCCGCCCCGCGAGGCGGAAATTTAGTGTTGTGTTACTCGCACGATTCAGCAGGTGACATTTTTGGTACCTCGTTTTCCCGCCTGCTTTTGCAATGATATGCAAGCAAAGATGATGTGCGGCCAAAAGGCCATCTCGGAAACGGCAGTTATGTTAGGGGACGGATTCTCAGCAGACGATATGAATATGTTGCAATGTACAAGACCCGTTAAGCTAGACTGCCATGGAGCTAGTATGCGGCGTAAGGTTAATCCTTGACACAGAGTCGAGTGCTGGCGGGACCTGACCATGCAGAATTGCGCCGTCCCCTTCCATCCCGGCCATCCAGGGGAGAAAGCTGGAGCTGGCCCTGGTGCCTGTCATGCCACCTGTCGGCGGGTAACGGAACCAGGAACGACCAAGCTGTTTATTTTGAAATTCAATGACAACGTCATGGCATCAGATCAAGCCAATGGACTTTACATTTGGCCTGATTATGAGCGAACAGCATGAACTTTAACTCTCATGGGTCTGAATTAGTGAAGTCCGATGACCGGCTCGAAATGCCAGATGCTGCACGTTTATTTAGCAAACTGCCCAATCTCGGACCACGTTTCGTGATTTCAGATTTACGTCCTCTCAAGCTTGCACTATTTTATGACGGCGTAAACACTCAGCCTCCACATAAGGATAGCGTTTCTACTGTTCAGAACGGTTTAATGCCGTCGCTTTAGCCTTTAATGGATGACTGGCAGATGGATATGTCGCTGCTGTCTCTACTCCCTGCGCGGTCCGCGTGGGGCTGCTGATCTGTCCTGCTCAGCTGGCCACGGCCGGCCGGGCGGACACTGCAGCGGTGCCTGTATGGCCGTGATCGGCTCCTTGCGTCGGTAGGGAGTCAGAATTCGCCTCCAGCAACGCTGTCCCTCACGCTCTCGTTTCTTCATTCTCCAAGCATTGATATGGAGCTAATTTATTTCGTATGTGCGTATGTGTTTGGGGCCGATGTTTTCTGTCCTCTGGCTGGAGGTAATTTCTGTCGCAGATTTGCCTTGTTATGCTGTTACAAAATTACTATGCTTCATTATTTGTCTGGGTAGGCAGTTGTCCGGTACACTGCAAGGTCTGTCGGTAAAATTTATACTGGACAGCATAGAACAAACCGGCTTAACTCCCGTGCATTTGGCTTAAACCTTTGTTGGATCCCATGCCCATTGTTTATTCACGTAGCGTGGCAGTAAACTTGTCTGCCCCACGGGATCAAGCGTCGGCTTCGTGACATTAGGGCGTGGTGGAATGTCGCCCCACCACGTCGAAGCATTACCACGAAGCCAGGCCGGTACAGACATCGTAATGTAATGTATTTTTCGGCGGTTACCTGCCCGGGTGCTGCCAATGCGTATGTTCACACGAGAGGTCGCGTTTTGCGGCGTCCCATGCCGGACCCGCCGCCGCCCGTGGCCGCGAGCCGGGCCGCCACAGCAGGGCTCCGCGGACACACTTGAGGCGCGACGCCCGATGCTATCTGCTGCAGCGCCGCGCAGCGGAAGCCAGCCCCCGATTGGCCGGCGGCCAGGCCCGGTGCACGTTAGCAACTGGCAGCGAAGCGAGCCGTTTCGTAACGTCCCTGGCAGTGAGAGCGGCGCCGGTGTGCGGGGATTGATCCGCGCCGCACGCTGCCAAATGTCGCAACACATCCTCCCTCGGCCCAGACGCTACCCGCCGGGCCACACGATCCTCCCGGCCTTGAGGAGCTCGGGCGGGTTTGTTTGTGTGGTGCGGTTGGTGAAGGCTGCTGAAGACCCCAGGACGTAGGAGGCGCAAAAGGAGCGGCGACACTCTGTCCTGACACGGCTGCCAGGCGGGGCCGCTTTGTTGGGCTCTTCGCCGGGAATGCCCTCCATTAAGATGATGACTATGAGCATCTGGTACTGCAACCTAGCCGAGGCTTAATGTGCATGGCGAACGATAGCAGAGCGAACAACATGCTTCCCTTCAAAGCAGCGGGTAAGGAAGAACTCTGCCTATGCAGGATAGCGTTGGAGAACCGGGTGGAAGTGAACGTTTGAAATTGGTATCAATAGTAACCGCATGCCTTTGTCGATAGCAAGGGATTGGCGATTGCATTGGAAAACAAACAGCAAACGTGGGAAATTATCTTCCATTAGGGGAAGGCTCAAGTAACTCCCAGTTGCTGCAAGCATGAACAAGACAATTCACGCTTGAGGCATGCTGTATTCAAGGTAGGAGCAATGTGGTATACATGTGTAGTTTTTTAAGAACCACTTGTGTATATTGGTTGCACGCCGCGTGCACCTTCTCCAAAACACGTGTCACTTTATATATGGATTGTGCCTAACGCACACGATCGTACATTCATCGCGAAAGCTGAGCGCATCAGTCGGTGCGCCCGAGAACGCCAGTCCGATCGCAGATGCGCGCGCATGTGTTGGCGCACTTCTGACGTCATTCGGATCTGGTAGCCGTAAGCTCGTCTGAAGTGACCCCACTGCGCATATGCTCGCTCAAAGCTGATGAAATCTGAGGCGGGGTGGTTGCCCGGACCTAATTTGCATCTCTATGGATTTGAGGCATTGACTGGTCAAAATTTGTATTGAGAAAATGTAAACCTTTAAAGGAGATTCTTGATGCTTGTTGTGATGGTACTCGGGCCTGGACATGAGATTCTCAAGTAAATACGGCACGGGTCGCATGCACTTGCGATGTAGCGATTTCCAATTGTCCAGTGAGAAAGTTGAAAATAAGATGACGCTTATTTTCGCGACGCGACGCGATGGCGTCCAACTTCATGTCGTAGACACGACAGCTGGTGTTTGACGTGCGTCGTTTCTGGTTGCGCCAGGGTGCTATTATATTGCTGGCTTTGGTCGATCAGTTGGCACGCTTACGGTTGCCACTGGAACTGGAACGGTCAGGAATGACGACGCGTCGTTATAGACAATCGAACTATGTCACTGTCATTATCATGGGTTAGAGTCCGCCCTGAAACGACCCCGTCTTACTCCAGCTGGTGATCAGATGGTGTCTTGTCTGACGCAGCACATGGGCCGCACAGGCACCGATCCGGCCCGCTGAGGGGTATCCAGGGGCGGCGCCTCTCGCGGCGTCTGATCTGGCGCGGTCACCTCGAGGGCACCCAGCCGGATGTTTGGAGTTGGACCGCTGCGCCAGGCTCGCCCGTCCGTGGAACCCGTCCGTGTGTGCCGAAGGTCACGTGGCAGGAACGTGCAGGAGGAGGCGGACAGGGTGGCGCGCGGGAGCAGCAGGCCGCGTCAGCCGGCGGCGGGGGGGGGGGGGGGGGCGTCACGTCGGTCCCCGCGCGGCGAAGACGGTCGGGGAGTGTGGCCGCGCCCAGTAGCCTGTCTGCGGCGCACGTCCAGCTCCCGGCGCTCCTGTGCGACCGGGGGACGGCCTGGCCTGGCCATCTTTTTCGCCTTCTGTTCGCGGAAGGCATGCCCAGCCGTGCTTCTTGTGGCGCACAGTGCGCAGCTCTTTGTCGTGGCCGCGCGGCGAACAGGCGCGGAGGACTTCAGGGGCGCAACAGTACCGTCAAGTCAAGGCGCGCTGACGACCGCAGAGCAAAAACGGCCGTGGCGGGCCCAAGGACGATGGCTGCCATTGGGGCGTCTGGGCTGAGCTGGCCCACAAAACGCCCGCTGGTCCTTGGCAGGCGGCGTATCGCTTGCTGGAGCTATCTTGCGCCGCTACTACGCCGTCGAACGATGCCATAAAGACGCTTGTCGCGGGCCGAATGTAGGCCATCTCTGCAGCTGGTGGGGAGGGGGGGGGTCGGAGGGGAGAGATCGGCACCGAGCGTCGGCGGCAGGGCTACAGATCGGCCGCGAACGCCCCCTCCCTCATCATGCATGCACATGCATCCCCTGGGTGCATGTGAGGTGAGTGATCTGCGTACATATACATCCCTAGATTCATGTGAGGTGGGAGGCAAGCGTTGAATCAGGAATGGAGCTTCAGGGAATGTGTGGGGGACGGGATTCCATTTGGTAGTCATTGGTTATTTGTCATTATATTCATTGGTTTTCTGGTGGTTGGGTTCCATAAGAGGGTCTGAAATAAACGAGGAGGGCATCGAGAAAGGGTTGCAAAGCTCAACTCACGCTCTGAATATTGGGCCGTCTTTGACAAGCTGTCGGCTCAACGGCTGTTTAGATGAAGTAAGATGCGCATCCACGCAGCGTTGTTTTTGCTGTCTGAATGCGTCTGGGGGGCATACGCCGTGCTCCGCGTTCTACCTCAGGCACTTACGGACCGCGAACAATGCTGCTCAGGCCGGTACCTCGCACGTTAAGGACCCGTTCCCCGGCCCTGAGCAGGTGCAGGGAGTGGCCGGCCAGCTTAGCCGGCCGCTGCGGCGGATTTGTTCGGACGTCCTCTGAAGCGGGGCGGGACGCGGCTTCGGCGAGGAGCTCCGGGCTGGACGGGACCGCTGAGCACGCGGCCGGAGCGTGCTGCCGCCCGGGTCGGCCCCGGCGCGCCGGCTGACGTAAGGTCGCGTCACGCGGCGTCAGGCGGCGCAGCGGCCGGCCGCTTGACGTGCGGACGCTGGAGCGCCGGCCTGCGGGGTGACGCTGCGCCCTAACCAGCGGACCGGACCGCGTCGGCTCCCGCGCAGCGCGCCGCCGGCTGCCGGCGCCCGCCGCCAATGGTACCCGAGCCACGTGGTGCCGATCGTGCCGCCTGACCGCGCCACGTCACCGGTCTATTCCGAGCTCCGTGAGCTCGTGAGACGCGGGAGCGCGCCGCCGTCAGGATGGCGAAGCTGACCCGGCGAGGCGCACGGCCCCGTCAGCTTGCCAGCGGACTGACGCCGTGTGGGCGCTAGCCCGTCGGTCAGTGCTGTTGGTCTGCCGAGTCCGCCGGTCGACGGCAGGCGGGTGGTGCTGCGCTGATTACGTCAGACCGGCCGGTCGGCGCTGGGCAGCCGGCAGACACCCGCCTTCGCCGCTCAGCGCACCCGGCCACGCGCAGCCAGCACTGCTCCGATTAGCCGTGGGGGAGTGCGGATGTGGGGAGGGCTCCTCCTGGGGTGAAGGCGGATGTGGAATGGACTGAGCAAGCGTCCGGAAATTATAGGTTTCACAGCGTTTGAGCGCGTATGCTATCGGCTCTTGCGTATTATGCCCTGTAGGAGTTTTGTACATTGCCACTTCCACCAAACGTAGAGGCGCTGTCTCGCGAAATAAGTTGGCGGAGGCCGAGTAGGTAATAGTCCCGCAAAATGTACGGGCTTCACTCGATTTTGACTCACTATCCCCTCAGAATGGGGTGGGGGAGGGGGCGGGCGGGAATTGAGCCTCCTCTCCCAAGCTGACATGGAAGATCTTGCTCTGGAATGAGCTTGCGCTCTGTCGTTGCTGATACCCCATGGTTTAAACGCTCTGCATACAGTGGAGGATACATGAGACCCTAGGGATGATGCAAGGTACTGTGTTGCTGGAGTTTATTGTTACACCCAGCCAGCAGACGGATATGGCAAGCCCTGGTGCAGACCAGGCCGCATGGTGACGGAAAAGCTATAAGGTTGATGTGATGTAGAGGAGGCATCAGTAAGCCAGGGGGCTTGGAAATAGACCAGAAGGTGGCATTAGAATAACCTTTACGCCCCCACCCAAACGGCAAAATTACGTGGCCAGCTGCAGTGGTATGGGCCCGTTTTTGTGGGTGAACACATTGTTTATTGTGGTGTGCAGTTTTGTATTCGTCTCATATTGAGCGTTCACGTCAAAATTCTGTAAACGTATCAAACTATCCAGAGCGACACATTTGGTTCCGTCTTTCATGGCCGCCTCGTATATCTCTTCCGGGTAAACAGCTATGGACTGAAGTTTCTGCCAGCTGCCAGGCGCGAAGATCGTCTGAAGAAATGCTTGCTTTTGAAAGCCTTCAGACTTCGAACCTTATTCACAAACGTTTTGGCGTAAGACAAACACCATATTTCACTCTCGCCCAAGATCTCAACATTAGTTTCGCACTGTGCTGCGTATGGCGTGATGTGAAACTTGACCTCATTGTCTCGCAATATTTTTCTATGTGTTGATTTGATATTTTAATCTCATGCTCGGGGTGATAGCCCGGGGACTCTGGATACTCGTGCTGCATGTCTGAGGTCTCTCACGGTCTGCCGCGATCGGCATCTCGGTCTATCACGGTCTGTTGTAGCCTGGGGACTCGGATACTCGTGCTCGGCATGCTTCTGAGGTCCTCATCACGGTCTGTTGTAGCCTGGGGACTCCGGATACTCGTGCTGGCATGCTTCTGAGGTCCTCATCACGGTCTGTTGTAGCCTGGGGACTCCGGATACTCGTGCTCGGCATGCTTCTGAGGTCCTCATCACGGTCTGTTGTAGCCTGGGGACTCCGGATACTCGTGCTCTGCATGCTTCTGAGGTCCTCATCACGGTCTGTTGTAGCCTGGGGACTCGGATACTCGTGCTCTGCATGCTTCTGAGGTCCTCATCACGGTCTGTTGTAGCCTGGGGACTCTGGATACTCGTGCTGTGCATGCTTCTGAGGTCCTCATCACGGTCTGTTGTAGCCTGGGGACTGGAACTCGTGCTGTGCATGCTTCTGAGGTCT